ACAGAGCCTGACTCTGGGCTTGACCTCCCAACGGTGAGATCGTGACCTGAGCCAAAACCAAGAGTCGGATGCTTAACCGATTGAGCCACCCAGGTGCCCCATCATTTTGCCTCTTTCAATTGTGTGCCTCAATGAATTTAGAAACAGTACTTTCCAAAGGGGCAAACAGAATCCAAACACATCTGCAAGAGTCAAGTTACCATTAAAAATTTTTTTTTAAGATTATTTATTCTTGAGAGACAGAGAGAGACAGAGCATGAGCAGGGGAGGGGCAGAGAGAGGGGAGGAGACACAGAATCCAAAGCAGACTCCAGGCTCCGAGCTGTCTGCACAGAGCCCAATGCGGGGCTCGAACTCACTAACCGCAAGATCATGACCTGAGCCGAAGCTGGACGCTTAACCGACTGAGCCACCCAGGTGCCCCAAGGTACCATTTAAAATAGACATCTCATTCTTTTTTTGTTTTGATTTTATCTTCTTTCAAGAAGAAACAGTTTTTTAACTTAATTTGGAGTAAACCAAGTTTGGAGATATTGAAAGTCCCCCATTATGGCCACTGAAGTTTCTGAAAGTTTGTAACAAAAAACCTCACTAAAAATGGAATCAGGAGGTGTCTGCAGGGAAAGGTCTCATGCCCTACCACTCCTACTCAATTGCAGGCTCAACTGCAGACTCAACAAGAAGAGACGAACTTGACCTTAGAAGGATTTGACCTTGCCCATGGATACTACTCTACTATACCAGCCAGAAATAGAGACACTTTCCTTTTCCCCCCAGGCAACACTCAGCCACTGAAAAGCCACTGCACTTCAGACACCCAGTTTATGCCAAGGGACTTTTAATTTATGAAAGCCTTCCCAACTTCCCCCTTCCTTCTTAAAAAAGCATACCTGTCCTTTGTTCCCTGGACTTGTCTCCAGGTTTTCTGCAGCTTGATTTTCCTGACTTGCAGTTCTCTTCACTCTTGAATGTATGCATCTGTTCCTGGTAAATTAACTGGCAGTTTTACTTTTAAGGTTAACAAGTCCTGAAATGCTTTTGTTTAAGGTGGTCCATTTAGTTAGGAATGTGCCTACAGAACAACCATAGATTTTAAACATAAAATGAGCCATAGTCCCAAAGGGGAGGGGTGTCACGAAGCGTTTTCTTGCAGGGGATCCCATTTTCTTTAGCAGTTTTCCGGGAACAACCTAGTTCCAGAATGACTCAGACCAGAGGCCAGCAGGTTCCAAGAGGAATAGTCCAGTACCAAACAGAACTTGGACCCAAGGCTAGTGCATTTACAACTGGCACAGTTCTAACTGCAACAGTCCAATCCCGAAAAGAATTTAGACAGAAGGCCTATGCAGCCCCAAATGGTACCATTCCAACAGGAACAGTTCAATCCCAAAGCAGAATAGGACCAAAGACCAATGCAGTTCAAACTGGTACTTTTCCAACAGGAGCAGTCCAATCCCAAAAGGAATTAGACCAAACGAGAAAGGAGTTCCGTTAGGAACAGTTTGATTCTGAGAAGGAATCAAAGGCCAAATGAATACTCTCAGAGATCTAAAAAAAGAAAGAAAGAAATCACAGACAAAAAGCATGGAGCTGGAAGTCCAGGAGAAAAGCTTACCCTCAAACCCTATGGTTGGTGAGAAAGCAGTGAACCCAAACACCTCCATGGATACCACACCTGCTTGCCCACCAGAGTAAGAGGCCTTGGGGATCTTCCTTGGATCCCTACATGTGTCACCAAGGAATGTTAGTTGTAAAAATGTAACCTGCCAGTTATTTCACCAGCAAAGTTGGGTTTCTTCGGGAATAAAGAGAATTACAATCTGGGAAAACCAAGCTGTGGCAAAACTATAGGCAAGTCCAGGGAACAAAGGACAGGTACATTTTTAAGGAGAAAAGGGGTAAGTTGGGAGGGCTGTTTTAAATTAAAAGTCCAATGGAGTAAACTGGGACTTAGAAGTGTAGTGCTTTCCATTGGCTGGGCTGTTGCTCCAGGGACTTAAAACAAGCATATTTTACTCTGTCTGGAGTAGTACAGTTGTGTTCATGTGCAAGGGCAACTCCCTTGATCAAGTCTCTCTCTCTTCTTGTTGGGACTGCAGTTGACTGGGAGTGGTAGGGCATGAGTTGCTCCCACTGCCGGCTTCCTGACTGCATTTAGTGAGGTTTCCCATTACTGATTTTCCACAAAAGATAAAGATTGGTGGATTGGAATTGAGCACATGCAGGTACATCTTACTCTCAGTTCTGCCCCCTTTCCCTGTCCTGTCTGAAAAAGTTCTACTATTTGTACCAGTACTGAGTTCACTGAGTTCACCTCAAACAAAGGGCAGCTCTCAAATCTCCCCTGACTCCTTTACTCACCACAACATTGATGTGGGACAAGTTCTTTGTGCCATCACCACACATCCTACACATATCCCCCTTAGAAGGCAAAAATCACTTCTGGCTGATTGTTTTCTCACTTACTGAATAGTGTCATCGCCTGCTGTGTATTTGGTCGTGGACCTGAATGAGGAATGAGTGTTCTTCTGCATTTGCTAAGGCAGGCTCTAATCAAATATTGATCTTGCCTCAGGAAAACTAGACTCAGGGACATGGAAATGCAAGCTATATTCTCAGCATAAGAGCAGGGTTTTCTTGCCTTTGGAAATAGCAGAGTTCTTCCATTATTTGGGGGGATGGCAGCCACAGTGGTTCATGTTATCAGGACATTACCCTCTTCGGGGAGACTATCTGGGAGAAGTCCTAGCTAGGGCAGTCAAAGGAAATACTGTCCATCCTCCCCCATACTTCAGAACCTTAGATACAAAAAACATCTTGAATGTTTTGCACCAGATCTCTGTGGGGGCAGAACACATCCAAAAAGTCAATGTTTACCTTGTTGTTTACCTTGGAAGGAGAATATCAGAGTAGGATGACCTTATGGATAGGATACCAAAGGATAATAGATGTGGATTTCTTCTTCTTACTTTTTTTAAAAAAATGTAAAAAAAAAACCCCTTTTTTTAATGTAAAAAAAATGTAAATTTCTTTCTTTTTAAAAGAAATTTATTCTTACTTTTTTATTTATTTTGAGAGAGAGAGAGAGAGAGAGAGAGAGCAAGGGAAGGGCAGAGAGAGGGAGATAGAATCCCAAGCAAGTTTTGCAATGTCAGCCCAGATCTAATGTGGAGCTGAAACTGATGAATCATGAGATCGTGACCTGAACCGAAATCAAGATTTGGACATTTAACCGACTGAGCCACCCAGGTGCCCAACTTCTCCTTACTTTTTAATGCTTTCTGTAAAAACAGTGTTTCTGAAATAATCTAGCCACAGAAGATATAAGAATCTACAGCGACCAGGAGCCCACCCCCTATCTTAACCCATCAATCAATGTCAGGGCCATGGAAACCCCTTCCCACATTCCATGTCTTTTCCCTCTCATTCCCCCAGAATTCCTCTTCCTGATTTTGGAAAATATTCTCTTTAATGCTCATTAGCTGCTATTCTTCTTTTTTCTCATTAAATTATAATATGCATTTATTTCCAAAATATATTATGGAATGACCATTCTGAGGAATCAAGCACACCTGTGAAATCTGAACACTCTTGTTCATCATACAGTAGTTATAAAAGTTCTAGCAGCAAAACAGTCTTGTTAAGGCACACACACTATGTAAACCTTAAAGAAGGTGTTATCAACCTTGATTTGAGGTACTGCTTTTCAATGTCCAATAGTCTGGAAAATCACTAGAGGAATCAGCTGGCAGGGGAGAATTACCACAGTAAAGGCACCTCCCTCACACACCCACACTCTGACATATTATAGTTCTAGAAAGGTGGGGTGTATGGACATTACTACATTTGATGTGCTAGGCATTTTGTATATTGTCCCCATCAAGAACATGAAGGAAAAACAGATCTCAAGGTCCCATGCACAGCCTGATGTAGACCAAGTTCATGCAGCTTCCAGCCTAATGGTTCTTCTCACTACTCAGGGTCCTCAAATATTTTATGCTGAGGGGCGCCTGGGTGGCGCAGTCGGTTAAGCGTCCGGCTTCAGCCAGGTCACGATCTCGCGGTCCGTGAGTTCGAGCCCCGTGTCAGGCTCTGGGCTGATGGCTCAGAGCCTGGAGCCTGTTTCCGATTCTGTGTCTCCCTCTCTCTCTGCCCCTCCCCCGTTCATGCTCTGTCTCTCTCTGTCCCAAAAATAAATAAACGTTGAAAAAAAAAAAATCTTTAAAAAAAAAAAAAAATTTTATGCTGAGGATCCTGTTCCTCAAGTGATTTCTTGCCCAGTAAGGCTAGAGGGACAGCCGATAAAGAAACTCACCTTGACTGGGGCCAATGGCTTCCCACCACAGAGCCCCTTGATACTTTGAAAATAACACCTATTTATATATAACACATTAACTGTAACCTTAAACAGAACCAAAAAGTAGGGATTTCAGGAAAAAGGGGCTAATGTAACCATTAAATCAAACATTCCAAACAATTTGTTGGCCGCAGTGAGCTTCATAAACATTCCCTCCCACCCAGGACCCACTGAAAATCACACAGAGGGAGGAGCCCTGTCCACACCCCCATCACAGCACAGGACCTAATTCTCTGTTCCTCACTATTGAGATTCTCCGAAAAAAGTAAAGGGACTGTGTCCTCAGAGGCAGTTCCCCTGTGCAAGCAACTTCACTGCATCTTGGAAGAAAGCAACCTTTCCCATTCTGCAGAGGAAGGACACATTCCCAAGACAATATCTGTACTCCTTTTTTACTTTTGAGGGTTTCCGAAAATAATTTTGACTCGCCTACCATGAATCACTAGCCCCCTATTAACCCCAGGGCCAACCACCTTAGTTTGGGGAGCACATCAGTTGACCTCAAACCATCGCTTGGCTCACAGGTAGCATCCTAAGAGGACACAGTCCTGGTTGGGCTCAAGGTGCAGCCCCATGAAGTACGGATTTGACACAGCGCCCTCAGGAAAACTTCTGGCCCTCTGGCCCCTCCTCTCATGGAAGGACAGGGGTGGGGCTTCGGCTCTAGGAGTCACAGCGCTGGATCCAAGAACACAGTTCTACCGGCATCTCTGACTGTGGCCAGGCCTCCGCACCACTAGCCCTCGGTGTGGCCCATAGCATCATCGGCTCCACACACAGGGCCTCCCTAGCAATCCACACAGTCATGTCGTCACACATCCGCGTAGCGCTGGTGACCGGGGCCAATAAGGGCATCGGCTTCGCCATCGTGCGCGACCTGTGCCGGCAGTTCTTCGGGGATGTGGTGCTTACGGCACGGGATGAGGCGCGGGGACGGGCGGCAGTGCAGCGGCTCCAGGCCGAAGGATTGAGCCCCCGCTTCCACCTGCTGGACATCGACGACCTGCAGAGCATCCGCGCCATGCGCGACTTCCTGCGCGAGGAGTACGGGGGATTGGACGTGCTGGTCAACAACGCGGGCATCGCCTTTGATAGTAAGAATGTGGGAACTCTTAGGCCAGGAGACCTCCCTTAGGGGACCAGCCAGGGTGGGTTTGGGGCTGGTGTCTAAACCGCTGCTCTGGGGTCCAGAGCTCTGAGGGGATCTAGAACAGCCTCCCTAGGGAAGAAGATGGACTGGAGACACAGGGAGAGCAGGACCCTCCAGCAGTTGCAAGCATTTCCAGCCAGAGGGCCTTCACACTGGCATGGATCAGATTCTCAGGGACCTCACCCAGGTTTTTCCAAGTTTCTTTCTGATTGGGTCTGAGTCATTTGGTAAATATTAACCTATTTTGCAATAAACAACATATTGTAAACAAAGGTACACAGAAAACCCATTGTGCACCCTTCCCTTAGCATCCCCAAGTGGTGCCAAGTTACAAAGCTACACGGCACCAGCCAGCCAGATAATTCACACCGGGACAATAGTGTTACCTAACACAGAAATGGCTGAGAATTCACGTTTGCAAATGAAAAAAAAAAAAAAAAAAATGCTATCGTCACTTCATGGAATATTCTCAGGAGGCAACTGCTTACTGACCTATTCTCCTTCTTCCTTACCAGTTGATGATCACACACCCTTACATATTAAAGCAGAATTGACAATGAAAACAAACTTCTTTGGTACGCGAAACGTGTGCACAGAACTGCTGCCTCTAATGAAACGCCAAGGTAGGTGTGATCAGGGGCCCAAGCAGTGCCATTTCTGGAATGATCTGGCTCCTGCCTCTCTGACCTTATCTAAGGGCCCTGCTCCCTCTCGCTTCTCAGCCACACCCGCTTCACTGCTGTGTCCCCACCACACAGGTGCCCTTCTCCTCAGGACTCTGTACACGTGTGTCCAGCAGCGAGCAGTGCCTTCTGTCCTGCTGGCCTTTCACAACTGGCTCTTTCTTCTCCTTCACATCTTCATTTCAAATTCTCCTCACAAAGGCCTTTCCTGCCTCTGTACCCCTCACAGGTGCACTTCCCTGGGAATTCCTTCCTGGACCCTTTCTCTTCCTTCTGCCTTCCTCTGAGTGATTTTATTCAGGCTAGTGGACTCTTCACCATCCAAACTTCTCAGGCTCCCCTAAAATCTGTCAGCTGCCTAGAACATTCCCTAGAGCATTCTCTTCCTACCTCTTCTTCTCCTCAGGATGCCCTCCCTTCCCTCCTCAGATCCGACCCCTCCAGCTGCCCACCCAACCCCCCACCTAAGCATCTCAAATGTGTCCAGATGACACCTGTGATTTCCCAATATCATCCTGGTCATGGACCACTCCATCCACCCACCATGAAAAATGAGGTCACCATGCCCACCTCCTGATTATCACTGACCAGATCCTAACAGTTGTCCTATAGATTTTGTCCCCCAAGCTTCCAACTTGGGGGAAGCTTCCAGCTTTCTCCATCCCAACTCTCCAACAGACTCGGCTGTCATTTCTGGACAATTGAAACCTTCCTAAGAGATGCTGTTTCTTCTGTCTTTTCCTTTCTGGTGATTCTCTGTACTCCCTGAGTGCTCACTTTCTCGCAAAAGCCCTTCAAGAGCAAAGTCCAATCCTGAGCACGACTCGTAGCGATCTCTGTCGTCAGACCTGCCAAAGTCCAGGCCCATCAACCTCCCTTCACCTCGATCATTGTTTGCACAAACAAACTGCCACAATTCCTTGGTTGTAAACTACTGCAATATTTACCCCCACGTTAATGTGATGGGGAACCACCACCCATTCAGTACACTAATTAAATAAGCTGATACTTTTAGAAAGATTAGGATGTCTGGCTTGAATGAGTGCGTGCATGTACAGTTTACCCTCAGTTCTGCCTCCATTGCCTCTTCATTCCTGGAAACTTCCATCACTTCTTCTACCACTGGCTTCATTGGCACCCAAAGGGCAGCTCTCAAATGTCCCCCGACTCCTTTACTCACCACAACGTTGATGTTGGACGAGTCCCGTGTGCCAGCATCACACATCCTACACGTATTCCCCTACACGCAAAAATCATACTCTGGCTGATTGTTTTCTCACTTACTAAGCAGTGTGGGTGCCTGCTGTGTATTTGGCTTCGGACCAGAATGAGGAATGAGTGTTCTTCTGCATTTGCTAAGGCAGGCTCTAATCAAATATTGATCTTGCCTCAGGAAAACTAGACTCAGGGACATGGAAATGCAAGCTATATTCTCAGTGTAAGACCAGGGTTCCCTTGCCTTTGGAAATAAGAGAGTTCTTCCATTATTTGAGGGGATGGCAGCCACAGTGGTTCATGTTATCAGAACATTACCCTCTTTGGGGAGACTATCTGGGAGAAGTCCTAGCTAGGGCAGCCAAAGGAAATGCTGTCCTTCCCCCCACCCCCCATACTTCAGAAACCAGGATACAAAGAACAATCTCCAATGACACCCACCAGTTCTCTGTGGGTCAGAACACATGCAAAAGGCCAACGTGTGCTCTGTTTTTAGGTGCATAAGGACAAACCAAAAGACAGAATTGTGACTTTAAGGATATTGAGAGATAGTAAATGTTGATTTTTCTTATTTTTTTAACCAACAGAATCATCCAGGCACCCCTACTCTTACATTTTTTTCAGATTATTTATTTATTTATTTATTTATTTATTTATTTATTTATTTATCTATCTATCTTGAGAGAGAGAAAGGAAGAGAGAGAGCCAGTAGGGAGAGGCAGAGAGAGTAGGAGAGAGAGAAGCCAGCCCCATGCTTTCATTGCAGAGCCCAAAGGAGCCTTGAACTCATGAGCCAAGAGATCATGACCTGAGCAAAATTAAGAGTTGACGCTTAACCAACTGAGCCACTCAGGGACTCCAATTCTTCTTATATTTTAATCCTCTTTTCAATAACAGTTTTAGTTAAACCATTTAGGCAGAAAATGAAGATAAGAACTTAAAACAACCAGGTGCCTATCACCAGTCTTAACCATGCAATTAGTATCAAAGTCATATAAATCCCTTCCCACATTCCATATCATTTCACTCTCATTCCACCAAAATTCCTATTCCTGAATTTGAAAGATATTCGCTTTAAAAGGATAAGCTGTTGTTATTCTTTCACTCTTTAAATTATACTCTACATTTATTTCAAAAAGATATTAAGGTATAATCATCTCTAAGGAATTGAACAAACATTGGAAAGCTGAGCACTCTTGCTCATCAGATATAAGCTTAAAATACTAGGCAATAATATGGTCTTATTAAGGCTACTGTTAGCAAAGAACCCTTACAGAAGATGTTCTCAACCTTCCTTTGAGAAGGTACCGCTTTGCAATATCCTGTAGTCTTAAAAACCACTAGAGAAATTTGGAGAGAAAGTTACAATAGCAAATGTATCTCACTCACACTCATTCTGACATATTGATTCTAGAAAGGATAGGTGGCTGGACATTTCTAGGTGTGATGTGCTAGGCATTTTATATATGGTCCCCATTAAGAACCTGGAGGAATAATGGATTTCAAGGTCACAAGCACAGCTGGCTGAAGACCGAGGTCATGTGACATCCAAACTAGTGGTTCTTCCCACTACTCAAGGTCCTCAAATCATTTTCCCTACATATCCCTTCTTCAAATGAAGCCTTACCCAGTAAGGCAAGGGAAACAGAAAATAAAAGGACTCTGCTCTATTGGGCCAATGCCTTCCTTATAGCAAGACCCCCAGGTACCTCAGGGAAAACCACAGGAGGCACATTTCAAAACTTGAAGTGTTTTCTGAAAAACCCTTATCAGTCAAGACACTAAAGAACTGGTCCTCTTGATATTAGAAAACATGGATCTTCCAGGGAATGTGACAAATGTTAAATCATCAAAGGTCATGAGAACCAGCTTGGGCTCACAGATTCTGAATAGCCTTGAGAGTCAAATGCTGCCCTTGAAGTTTGTGACCCCAGATGAGATGATGTCTAAAAGACCTTGTGGTGTGGAGATCACTGTGGCTGTGCTTTAGGACACTGAAGTTTGGAGAGGGAGAGATGTTCCTAAATAGATCCCTGGCCACATACAGAGTAATGGCCTGGATAGACTATAAGCCTGAGACACACGCCAGCCCCACCAGAACAAGAGTCCTTTCGTATCTGGGTGACATGCTTTCACACTGATTGTGACGGGGAAATTCCTTTACACGCTACCTCATACAGGTCACACACTTACAGTCACACATCCAGTCTCTTTCGCACACACTCACATGCAGACATACGACACACTCAAATGCACTCACACACCCTTATCACAAGGTCTTATGGATGGTCCATAAACTTCTTTTCTTTTAAGTTTACTTACTTATATTTGACAGAGAGGGCACGAGTGAGGGAGGGGCAGAGAGCGAGAATGAGCATCCCAAGCAGGCTCCAAACTGTCAGCACGGAGCCCAACGTGGGGCTCAAACCCATGAACCGTGAGATCGTGACCTGAGTTGAAATCAAGAATCAGTTGCTTAACTGACTAAGCCATCCAGGCGCCCCACCCTTAAACTTTGTAGCGCATGGGCTGCGTGCATTCCAGCTCAGAGTTCTCAAAATGACACACGAAAGCCATGAGTCTACTCTAGAGACAAAATGTTTGGATCAGACACTTGGCTGTATAAACTCCATAAGTACTTCCTATTCCTGCACTTGTGTTTCCTGTCCTGAGCTGTCACACCAGAAGGGTCTACCATCTCACCCAGCTCTGAGGTGAAGCCCGCTGACAGCCAGCCTGCCACTTGCAAATGTGGTCAGTGCAGGGGACAGGCCTGGGTTGAGGGAATGGTTGCAGCATCTACTATGAGGAATTTACCTACAAAACCTTTTACTCCCTGTCAGACTCCCTGAAATACACAGGTAAGCATTTTCACAGGTGATTCTAGACTTCCTGAGATAGACAATACAGAATAGACAAGAGGGCATCACTTCATTATACATTATACACAGCGTGCAGAAAGTTTGTAGAGTTTCTCCATCTAGTGTCTATAGTAAAGGTACATAAGAAAATGGCTCCAAGCCCCTATGAGTAAATGTTGCTGTCTTTCTGGTATACCAGTTACCCAGGGTGGGTTCCTCTGCCCCTGTCTTATTTCATAAACTTCTGTGTTTTGCAATTTTGAAACATTAATGTGTATTATTTTTATTTTGAGACAGGCAGATGATATTTTTAAAATAAAATAAATCTAATTAGTTAAGTAATCAAACATGAGAGGTGCTTACTAAACCATTTAACACATAAGTTCCGTTAAAGTGACACTTAACATGTTTTAGATGAAAGGAAGGACTGGAATAACTGACCCCTTTCTAAAAGGTGTTTATG